GGGCTTCAGCACATCCCACTGGGAGAGCCTGTGGCTGACCAAGTCTCACGAGAAGAGCCTCATGATGGAATCTGCAGCTCACAAGTCACCTTCGTTAATTACTGCACCATGTGCGATGCTGACAACCTGACACCTCAAACTTACCTGTTTCTTTAAATTTAAAAATATTTTTTTGGAGATGAGGTCTTGCTCTGTCACCCAGACTGGAGTGCAGTGGTGCAGTCATGGCACACTGCAGCCTCAACCTCCTGGGCTCAAGCCATCATCCCACCTCAGCCTCCCAAGTAGCTAGCATCACAGGCACACACCACCATGCCAAGCTAGTTGTTTTTTTATTTTTTTATTTTTCGCAAAGATGGGGTTTCACTGTGTTGCCCAAGCTGGTCCCAAAGTCTTGGCCTCAAGTGACCCTCTGGCCTCTGCCTCCCAAAATGCTGGGATTAGAGGCATGAGTCACTGCACCTGGCCCCAAACTTACCTATTGACTTTAATCAGCTGAAGACATTTGGATGTCTCTGCAGTGTAGGAGAGCATACAGAAGTACATCTAAGGAACCAAGCCACAATGATGTCTCTTGCTCTGCATGGAGAAGGAGAGAAGTGATAAAGTGGGGAAACCTAGTATCTCCTTCACCTACCTCCTTCCTCTGTCAACACTCTCCTTTCTTGGCTGCTTACTGTTATAGCTTACTGTTATAACCATTCTTTTCTCCACACTGTTTTCCAATAAACACACACATCAGAGAGTTGCAGTCTTCGAATGCTCCCCTCTGTACCTGTATTTCCCAACACAGATGGAGCCAGTCAATGTTCAGTCACTCAGGTTTTGCTTTAGTCCTATCAATTAAGATTTACAATGAGCAAATCTCATCAAAATGTCACCACATCCCCAAATTTAGGTCAAATGGACACAATCCCAATGCTCTTATCCTACAAATCTAAGCCTTTTGTGGGAGCAAACATGCTTGTCAGCAGAAATTAAGGAAAAGCAAGAGATGGATGGCAGCTGCTGGAGAGCACATGGACATCGTTTCCAAGTGCCCAGGATTGCCATCGGCCATATCGATTGGATAATGACAAGGAGAGCTGGTTTGATTCCAAAAAGAGAAACCATGCAGAGGAGGCAAAAGGCAAAAGGAGTACTTAATTTTTATGAACCTGTTGGCGGGTGCTCCATATTAATATTTCATTTGTCAGTCTTTTTTTATTTTAAACTCAAAATGAAGAGCAATGCCTAGCTCCTGACTGTAATCTCAGTAGGAGTGTGTGGTGTGTCCACATCCTGCCTCATGCCCCAGATCATTGTAGTTAATGACCACACATACAGGCATTGTGTTTTGTCAATCAGTTACAAGCTGAATTTTGGGAATATGTAATCATTTCAAGGATTTTTTCAAAAAATCATCCTACTGCTAAATAGCAGCCCTCTCTTTCTCAGCCAACAGCATGTGGAGGGGGTCTAACTTAAGGGCCATAAATAAATCTGGACAATAACCCTGCATAAAGCAATCTTGTTCTTTCCCCCTCTAAGCTTCCACGTCACACCCGGCTTCTCTGTTGAGCTTATGATTTGGTTGCTAGGTCAGCCAGAAGGTGAATGGTTTCCTGCGTGGGTGAGATAGAGTGGTTGCAAAATGCATATCTTGCCTCAACTCAGCAAATGGTGCCCCAGCTGTCAGGGGCACACAGCATATTGGAGGCTATGATTCAGGAAGGAGCACAAGGTGAATTATATTGTCAAGCACAGTACTAAATGGCTAAAGCTGCCCAACGGCTCCTTCCCCAACCTGTTTTCTTCTTAAAATAAATCTATTCCATTGGCAGGCACTAGACTGAGGTGTCCTCACAAAATCACGGAGTCTTAAATAGAAAGGAGGCATTTGGACCAGCCCCTACTCTTTAGAGACGAGGAGTTTGATGTTCAGAGTATGAACCGTGGTGGTTTTTGTTTTTGTTTTGTTTTGGGTGGGGAACAAAGTGAAGAGGATCCTAATCTGAACAATGAAATAGTGCCAACACTTTCCAAGAATATGGCTAACTGAGTCACGAATGCAAAATAAAAACAGTTTTTATAGTGCATGAGAGGAAAAGATTTAAACCTGACAGTCCTAACCTCTGAAGAAATGCATAATATAGAAATAACTTGGACCAGTTCCCTAACAATGCCAGTGATCCTACTCCAGTCATAAAGCAATGTGTGTATCCGGGTTAGGGACAGTGTTTGATGGCTCCCATTGTACCCAGAAGCTTGTACCCTTAGTTTATCTTGAATCATCAATTCATGCAATCATTAATTCATTCAATGAACATATTACAATAATTACCTACTGTGTGATAGGGTCTGGGGGGGGAAATGTCAAGTAAAGCATTTTATCTACCTACAGAATCTTCCAGACAGGCAAACTTTTTTTTTTTTTTCAATATGAAGGACACAAACAAATGTATTCTAGCAAGGCAATTTTACCTACAAGGTAAAACTGTGCCTTCCACAGATAGCCCATTTTCTACTTCCATGTTTGGTAAGAGCCAGCACCCATCAAAGTCACATAAAATTATTATGATTGGTAGACATTTATTTTCAGATATTAAATGATGGGAAGTAGTAGTAAGGATTTGCCATGTAGCATTTTATGTGTGCAAAGTGCTTTATGGTCATATTTTATGGCTTGTTCTACATAATAGTCATGTGTGAGATGAGCTGGAACAGGCTCTATTTTAGAGTGAGGAAGTGACAGCAGTCCTGTGTATATCAGTGTCCTCTTTAAATACTATTTGCCTTGGGGTTTTAATAAATATCATCACTTTTTTTATTTCTTGGAATTTGCATTCTGCATGTTTATATTTGGTTCATTCAGGCTTTTGATAATGGTTCAGAGTCCAAACTCAGATTCTGAATAGTGCAGGCCATATCCGAGTGCAACTGCCAAGATGAGCCATGGCAGACATGACCCAACCCTTTTAGCTTCCGTCATGATCAATAGCTGTTACCACCGTTCCACTGGAATTCCATTTCCTCACTTATCCTCCAAGGTCAGAGAAAGGATCCCACTGGTTTCCACCTTCCTTTCCTTCCAAGAAAGTGATCTTTGTGGTGGCCGTCATTTGCCTCTCTCCACACACCCTTTCTGTCCAAGTTTCTTGAAAATCATAACCATAATGGAACCACATAGATCAGCTTCAGCAAAGAATGATCAACACTCCCTTACTTCTTTCTTCTGACAACCTACAGCTGGAGTGGAATTTGGGGGAGGCAGGAGTGAAGATCTTGTAAAACCTCACTCTTTTGTTTCCTCTTTCCATTCCTTCAAGGGAGTATCCTGGATCACTGTAGTCACCCTGGGAGTAAATTTGTGATCCAGAAGGACTAGCCTTTGTCCATGAGAAGCACAGTCTCTTAGGAAACCCAGAAAGGCCAATGGGCAATTGCCAGTCAAAGCTTCTGGTGCTATGACAGTGCTAGGGTTTATGGAGCAGAAGGGATAGACTGCTGCCTCAGGTCTAGGGGCTCAAGAAGGGCTTCCCAGAGGAAGCAGCCTCAGGACTTCGGAGTTAGATTGGAAATGTTGGTGCATCTTTTGCTTGGGAGAGACTTTGAGTCTAGGAGCCAAGGAAGGCCAAAGAGGTAGCCCAGGTGAAATAGAATAGTGTAGGCTGCTTGACATTGCCTTTAAGCTCTAGACAAGAAACGAAGGAAGGGAGGGATGAAAGCTTCCTTTTGCCTTGCCATGACTCAAGCATAAGTCTCCCTTCAAAAACCATTCCAGTTAATGACCACTCAGCATATTCAAGGACAAGGGGTGCCTTTGGTTCACCCCTGCATTATGATTCTTGACATATGACAAGCAGGTGGGCAGGGCTCAGACCCAGCCAAAACACCTTCTCTCACAAAGCCGAAAAGGACTGCATGAGCTTTTCTAAAAATCACTGCTGACAAATCCCACAACCAGTCTCAGCGCTGAAAGTTGAATGAACTCAGGAATGGGAGTCAGGAAACAGCTTTTGATTTAATGTAGTGTGTGGTCTTAGCCACTCATTTGACTGACTTGGGCCTTATTGCCTTATTTAACTTATAGGATTAGTAATACCTGCCCTACTTACTCAACAAGTTTGTTGGGAGGATAAGATCACATAATAAATATGAAAGGTTTAAGGCATACAAAAAGAAAGCCCATGACTGTGTCCAGTGTTGTTTCAATGTGTTCATGGGCTTCTGCTTTGGAGTTAGGTATTCCTCTCATCCGCCACCGAATGTCTAGGCTGTCCTGTCTTTTACCCTCAACTGTCAGATATTGATCCCCCTGCCTCCATTCACCTTCCCATAACACTTGGTCAACAGCTGCTAGTCATATGGCCATGGCTGAGTTATTCCAAGCACTGACTCATGTCATCACTTAACATCTTCGAAGTATTCATATGGCCCCTTCACTTTAAGACCTATAAGCCCATATTCCCCAAGTCTATTCTGACTCCAACGCCAGTGGACTGTGCCCCCTACAGTGGCTCAAAGAGGAAGCCCTCATCTCTGGACACTATAGTCCTGGGTTAGCCCACTGTGTCTAACAGCAGTCTCCCAACTGGAGCATTCTTATTGCTGAAAATGATCTCCTGGTGCACCTACCACAAGTACTTGGGGCTGCTTCACCAAGAATGATGGAAGCATTACTCCACTTCTGCTATACTCTCTTGCCTGTCCTTGGGGAGGGTTATGCCAACTGACTCATTAACATAATCAGTATGGTTTTGACTATGCCCTGACCAGCTAGGCTAACTGCCTAGCTCATAGCAAGTACTCAGCAGGTGCTTGTCAAATAGAAAATTAGATCTCATCATGGACTGAGTTCTGTCCTCCCAAAATTTGTATGTGGAAGTCCTAACCTCCAGTTATCTCAGAATATACTTGTATTTGGAGATAAGGTCTTTGTATTAGTCCATTCTCACGTTGCTGTAAAGAACTACCTGAGACTGGGTAACTTATGAAACAAAGAGATTTAATTAACTCACAGTTCAGCAGGCTGTATGGAAAGCATGACTAGAGAGGACTCAGGAAATGTACAGTCATGGTGGAAGGTGAAGGGAAAGCAGGTACATCTTCCCATGGCAGAGCAGGAGAGAGAGAGAGAGAGAAGTGGGGAGGTGCTTTACACTTTCAAACAGTATTAGAAATCACCCCCCTGATCCAATCACCTCCCACCAGGCCCCACCTCCAACACTGGGAATTACAATTCGACGTGAGATTTGGGAGATGACACAAAACCAAACCATATCAGTCTTTAAAGAGTTAAGTTGAAATAAGCTATTTAGAGTAGGCCCTAATCCAACATGACTGGTGTTCTTATAAGAAGAGGAGATTTGGTCACAGACATGGTTGTATGCAGAATAAAGACCTTTTGAGGACACACTGAGAAGGTAGCCATCTACAAGACAAGGAGAGAGTCCTCAGCAGAAACCAGTCCTGCGAACTCCTTGATCTTGGACTTCCAGCCACTGGAACTGTGAGTAAATATATTTTCTGTTGTTGAAGTCACCTAGTCTGTGGAATTTTGTTGTGCCAGCCATAGCAAATTAATACAGATCTGTTTAAGAACATATAAAAATACTAATCATCAGTCGGGCACGGTGGCTCATGCCTGTAATCCCAGCACTTTGGGAGGCCGAAGTCGGCGGATTACCTGAGGTCAGGAGTTGGAGACCAGCCTGGACAACACAGTGAAACCCCATCTGTACTAAAAATATAAAAAGTTAGCTGGGCCTCGTGGCAGGCGCCTGTAATCCCAGCTACTCGGGTAGCTGAGGCAGGAGAATCACTTGAATCTGGGAGGCAGAGGCTGCAGTGAGCCAAGATCGCACCACTGCACTCCAGCCTGGGTGACAGAGCGAGACTCCATCTCAAAAGTAATATATATATATTTGGGAGGCCCACCTCGGCCTCCCAAAGTGCTGGGATTACAGGCATGAGTCACCGTGCCCGACTGAGGATATATATATATGTCATGCCACAGACCAGCAGTCAGTTGCAATCTGGAAGTTGCAGTCTTCACCAGTAAGTAAATGTTGTGACCATCATTTGACCACAGTGGGGACACTAGTAGAAAGTGTTTTTGGCTCTATCATAGTTTCTTGGACAGTCTTACGGGCCCACCAGAAGTCCTTAGAGATAGATGACCAATAGTGTAGAAAACATAGCCTTCATAACAGGAAGGCAGCGACTGCTCTCTGGGTGTTTATGGGATCTCTCTGTGTTAAATTAGAAGATACTATTTCTCCATTTTACAGAAAGGTGACTCGAATTCTGCAATGAACCTGTAGTAAATTTAGAATTGAATCACAGCTGGCATATTTTCCAACCACAACGTGCCCTAGCTGATCTTTGCTTCCTCTCCTTCCTCATCTGTACTTGCTTTTCAACAGATGGCAAACCCTAAAGGGCATACATAAGTATAGTCTATAGATATTGGAAAGTGGGGAAAATTTGAAGAGTAAACCAATATTTAACAATAGAAAAAAACTGCAAAAGCATCTTTACCTAGGTAGCCTTGGCAGCTGGGACAAACACTAAAAGCTCAACTCATTAATTATACCGTGTCTCTCCTTACAGCTCTGAAGCTGAATTAAAAAGAAGTAAAACCATAATGAGCAGCCAAGAGGATGTCCCCAGGGGTCCAGATGACAGAATGAAGCATGCATGTTGGGGAGATGATCAGAACAGGCACCCGGGCCCCTGTGGGGTCAAGGACTTTGCTCTCCCCTACATGGGAGCTCTGCAGGCTGTTCTCCCCGCTGCACAGGGAGCCTGTGTTTGCAACCTGTCTCCCTTCCAGGCCTGCCCAACACTGTCCTGACCAGCAGCCTCTATCAGCAGGATTCTTTTTGTTCTCTCTTTCTTCTTCCATTTATCCACAAGCCTGACTGAGAGCCCGCATTATGCGCAGCTGCCAGGAGTCCAAACCAAGGTTGGTGGTGTAGGAGAATTACCACGTGGGTAAAGGAGACTGCACTCCATGGGTCTCTTGTCCCTGGAGATTCAGCTTCGCCAGTGGCTCCTCTCCCTGATTATGATTGCCATCTCCAGGCTTGACGTCCCTATTTCTGGGGTCCTTCCATCGATGTTTACAGGTACTGCAGTCTGAAAACAGCTCCCAGAGTGACCCTAACGCAGATCATGGCGCCCTCTTGTCCAAAATCTTTTCAGTGTTTTCCCAAATCACTCAGGAGCTTACAAGACCCTACCCAGACTGGCTCCTCTGTTCTCGGCTAGTCTCATCTTCTCTGATTCCCTCTCTTCTCTCTCGGGTACTAACACACTGGCAGCCTTTCTGAGCTGGATGCTCCCTTACATCCCTTGGATACTCCCAGCATGCCATGACTTGGGCCTTCTGCATTTGCTATTTACTGCATGCAATGTCATTGGCCAGTCAGCCACACGACCCACTCCCTCACTTTCTTTGGGTCTTTGCTCAAGCTCACATTCTCAGTAAGGCCTTTTCTGACCTCCAGTGTTTAAAATCTCACCCCTTATCACAGACAGCCCCAATCCCTTTCCCTACTTTATTTTCCTCATTATTCTTACCATCCGACATACCATGTATTTATTTCTGCTTTGCCTCCCGCTACTAGAAGGTAAGCTCCAAGAGGCTGGGAGTTTTTCTGCTTTGTTGCACTGTCACCAGCACCCAGAACGGCACCTAGAACATCGTGTCTGCCATTTGTTGAATGAATGTGCTCAAAGTACAGCTAGTGAATTGGAAAATGAACCCGTGGTGGGGAGTAATTATGAAAAAAGATTCATGTGTTCTTTCCTAAGTGACTCATTTGTTCTTTAAAAACAGTCATGTGCTGCGTAATGACATTTTGGTTAATAACAGACTGCAGATATGATGGTGGTTCCATAATGTGATATTTTTACTGTATTTTTTCTGTGTTTAGATTCACAAATGCTTACCATTGTGTTACAATTGCCTACAATATTCAGTACAGTCACATGCTGTATGGGTTTGTAGTCTAGGAGCAATAAGCTATACCATAGAGCCTACATGTGTAGTAGGCTTACACACATGGTTTACACAAAACCTAGATGGTTTGTGTAAGTGCAATCCATGATGTTTGCACAACATCACCTAATGATGCCTTTCTCTGAGGCAATGCATGACTGTATCCGAAGGTGACAATGAGTTTGTTGCCCTCTCCCTTCTGGGAATGGATAATCCCTACAGTACCTGGATTAGGCCCACCCTGTTCACCTCATTCTTCTTCCTCGGTTCTGATGACAAATGGTTTCCGACTCATAGCTGTGGACATATGAAATACTTTCATGGCTTTCTGTAAGGCTGGGCAAGTCAGTGAAGGTGAAATGTAAAGCCCACTCCCTACAAAGGACTAGTATTCACTCACCTCTCTCACCCCCAGTTACTGATATAGTTTAACAAATATTTATGATTATCTCTGCAGAAAAGGGATTTTAGAAAATTACATTCTGTTTGTTTTCATTATTGTTGCAAAAAAAGAGATAAAATCTTGGCATCTTTGAATTTACACTGCTTAAGGTTACTAAACAGAATGGGCAGTAGAATCCTATTTTTATAGTGTTTATATATATACATGCAAATGTATGTGTATATATATACACACATATAAATGTACATGTGTATATATTCACATATGTTTTTGTATTTTTATATTTTACATATTTATCTCTATATATGTATACACACATGCATATATATGTATAAAGATTAAAGAATATAGCAATAGACTAATCTTTGGGTATGATAAAATACTATAATTTTTATTCAACTGTTTTTTCCATAGTAAGTATATATTATGTATATGATATGAAGAACACCAATCATTCTTCTTTAAAAAAAAAAAAGAAAGGCTGGGTGCAGTGGCTCACGCCTGTAATCCCAGCACTTTGGGAGGCCGAGGCAAGTGGGTCATCTGAGTTCAGGAGTTCGAGACCAGCCTGACCAACATGGAGAAACCCCGTCTCTGCTAAAAATGCAAAATTAGCCAGGCGTGGTGGGTGGCACACATGCCTGTAATCCCAGCCACTTGGGAGGTTGAGGCAGGAGAATCGCTTGAACCTGGGAGGCAGGGATTGTGGTTAGTTAAGATTGCGCCTTTGCACTCCAGCCTGGGCAACAAGAGTGAAACTCTGTCTCAATAAATAAATAAATAAATAAATAAAAAGAGAAAAGAAAAAGCCCTTGTTTTAACTGGGCACATGCTAAAGGTCGGTTTTCTAGTATAGGGAAACAAGAAAATGTTCCTTTTGAATGTGACTATTATTTTTACTTTGTGATTTCGGCTTTTACGTTGGACTCAATAAACTAAAAAAAGGCAAACTGAAATCGTAGTACGAGGCTCTCATGTTTCCACTTACACTGAACATGAGCCAAGGCCTGAGGGCTAAAGTGGGCCTGATTGACTCATGACACCAGGTTGCTGCATCACTTCCTTGAGTAATTGTTCCTGGCTTCAAAACTAGCTGTGGAATCTCAGAAATCTTGTGACATTGGATCACGTGCCTGGGCACAGCCACGTTTTCTTCCATGGCTTCCTCTCCTTCCTCCTCTGGAGCAGATATCTATGTTTGCCATCTGCCTTTCTTCCTGTTCCTTCTTCTAACATGCCCCAGGATGCTCTTGAAGCCATATCCACTTCTCCAAATCAGTGATTGAATTCTTGAGAGCCAGGGCACAGCAGTCTCCTTCATCCATTGTATACTCTTCAGTGTTGTGTCCTTTGTCTAAAAGGTCTTTGCTCTTCTTTGCCTTGCTCTCTGTGTTTGTGGCACTCGCTTAGATGATTATTGATGGAGCTGACCATGGAGACCATAATGTGCAGGGACCAGGTCTTCGACAGGTGGGTGCCTCCCTGGTGCCCTGAGCTGGCTGGCTGTCCTTAGCACTGGGAAGACAGATTCTTCTCTTTGGGGGTTGCCTCAACCCTTGTGGAACACATCTTTTGGCATATGAAATTTCTGCTTGTTATAATTTTTTTTTTTTTTTTGAGATGGAGTCTCACTCTGTTGCCTGGGGTGGAATGCAGTGGCACGATCTCTGCTCACTGCAACCTCCACCTCCCAGATT